CGCCAGTTGTCCAAAATCCTACGGTACCAAAGGAGGGGTTTGGAAAAAGGGTGCCAGGCCGAAAACGGGATGCAGCTGAAACAGCAAAAAGATAGACCAGGGATCGAGCCCTGGCGAAGTCCGTAACAGACGCCCTTAGATCCTACAAGCGTATTGTAGTTTTGAAATATAGAATTAGAAGAAAAATCAAACAGCAGTACTCAGTTCAAAAAACAAAGCGAAAACAAAACAAAAAAGTTGAAAAACCAGAAAACCAAAACAAAAGGTTCGAAAAAAATAAACTCAACACTGTTTCACAGTGCACATTCGACAGGGTATTTTCCTTTTGCTGTGATCATCCTGTGTATATGCAGGCTGATTTTGTGGGCTATTTGTACGAGGCAGGGTTTCGAACTGGGGACCTATGTCGACTTTCCGGAGTACCTACGAAGATCAGATGCTTTGGACGGTTCGAACCCACGACGGTTGTCTTTGTCTCCGGCTTACGGGACAGGTCCCAGTGTCCCAGGTACCCTGGAACTGGTACCGGTTTCTGTTTGTTTGTAGAATTTTTTCCTGGAACAACACAATTTCGGATCCTTCGACTATGTGACACTGGTACACAGACAGATATAAAAAGGAGGAAGTGCAGATTAGTCGACCTCTTCAGGACTGACAGCACTAGGAAATTACCAACATTCAGGAGTATCGGTAGTGGACGGTACGGAAGTGGGAACGGACGGAACCTCGGCTGAAGTTTGAGGGAGAAGTTGGCAGTCGCCCCCCTGATGATGGCAACGTGGGTGGCTGTTGGCGAAACGCGGCGTCGGGGACGCCGTTCCTGAATCGTATCGTGTTAATACTTTCTATTTTCAATTCTGTTGTCGACTATACTTGTCTCCGGCTGACTCTCGTATCACTCGATCACAGTGAAGATACCTGGTTCGAAAACTTTTTCCCATTCAAAAAAATAAAAAATAAAAATAAAATCCCATTCACTTCCCTCGCTGGTGGGGAGGAAGAAGGTCACGCACGGGGTTCAATCCCTACCAGTCCGACTTCGAGCCTTAAAAGTTAAAAGGCTGAACAAGAAGATCAAACAGCAGTATTTAATCCTGAAAAAAAAAAAAAAAAAAAAAAAAAAGTTAAAAAAAACTTAGATCAAACAGCAGTATTTAATCCTGAAAAAAAAAACAAAAAAAAAACTAAGAAGGTAAAAAAAACTTAAAAAAGTTAATAAACCTTCAGAGTGTTTGTGGCTGTTGTCAACAGCAGCAGCTGGTCCGAATTCGTACCTGGTTCAAAAACTTGACCCCAAAACTGATCCCATACTTTGTAGGGACCATTGCTAATCCTCTCTTACGCCATTTGTTCTTCGAGTTGTATTCATCCACCTCCCTTTGTGCCGCGTCCAGTCCTCGCGTGTCCTTGAGCTCATTCCACATCTTCGGGACATGAAATCTTGTTAGCTTCTGCCCATAGTGCAGCTCGTACCCTTCAGATTGCAGATTGAGTGCCTGAAAGGAAGAACCAGGGGTCAAAAAACAAACCCACACCGCCGTAATTACTAATTACACTAGCTACATGTATGCATGAACGAGCCACCGTCAACATTCATTTATTTGTTTTTTTTTTTGTCAATTATTATTTGTTTACTTTAATATGTTATTATTTATTTGTTTCGCTTATTTATTTCAATTATTTGTTCATTTATTTTCTCCTTGCCATATTTTTTAAAAGATCATTCCATTTCTGATTCTCCAATCTACTCGTCATCATCACGGATGATGAGGATCGCATTGTCATCATCAACGGTTCAAAGTTCAAAGTTAAAACATCTAAAATTTGGCCACAAACTCCAGTCCAAACCCTATCCCATAACATAATAACCCCCCTTTGGGCCCCTTTTGTTTGAATAACAGCTCCAAGGTCAACCATGCATGAGGTGCCCAATTGACAATAATAAAAAAAAAAGGGTCCCAAAAACTAAGCGCCAGTTTGGCCCAACACAGCACAGACCATGAGTAGCCAAGAGAGAAGAGCGAGCGTAGTACCCATGAAGTGGTCACGTAAATAATATTTTATAATTTTTATTATTTATTTGTTTTGCTTATTTATACGTGGTGTATAGCAAACAGTTGACCTACGGCCTGGAATCAGCTGACAGAAATCATGGTGGCCCACGTCGTATTAAAGAAAAAAAAAGAGAAAAAGAAAAAAAGTCTTTAAAAAAAAAAAAAGTCTTTAAAAAGAAAAAAAAGAGGCCCAGGTAGCTATGTGGCACATCGGGATATGGAAAATACGGCCCTGCGCAAAACAGGTTTTTGTAACCGCAAAAAAAAAAAAAAAAAAAAAAAAAAGATCTGGGAAAAAAAGTATGTTGTATAGTTGTAGATATTAACGATATGAAAAGCTTTTGGGTTGATGCCATCTTTTTTTCATACAAGAAAACAGTCGTTTTATTAGGGCCCAGTGCCCAAGGCAGAGACACAATATCAGAGAGCTGCAAGTTCAGGGGTCACATCCTCGGGTGGAGCCCCTCCCCTGTAGAAATATCTCAACACATATGAAGATAAAAAATAAAAAATAAAACAGAGAAACAAAACAATATTGAATATTTCCTATTTAGGTTAAAAAAACCATAAAAGGAATTAAGCAACCGCCCTCTAAAAGAGTCTAAATCCCTTTAATGAAGTTTATTTCCTATCTTACCCCCTTTGAAGTTTGAACCCCTTTGATGCCATATCAAGCTTTTCATGACATAGGAACGTAGTTCTATTGTATTTTGACATGCGCAATATCACCTTACCTTTTATTTTTATTTTTATTTTTTTTTTGCTTTTTTTCCCCACCTCTTTTATCATCCGTATTCCCGGATTTATTTTTATTTTTTTTTTGCTTTTTTTCCCCACCTCTTTTATCATCCGTATTTCCGGATAATCCTACCCCCCATAATCTGGCCAGATAATCCCTGATCACATTATCCAGCCCGATAACCAGTGCTACCTAGCCATGTAGAAACCATCCAGCAGTTTCTTTTTTTTGTTGGCCATAATTCCGTGCAAACAGGTTATAACTTTTAACTAAGGTTTAGGGTTTAGGGTTTAGGGGTTTAGGGTTTAGGGTTTAGGGTTCAGGGGATACTGTAAGTCTGTAATAAGCAAAGCAAAGGGAGTCGGAGTGCCACCGGCGCGACTGTAATCGTGTCCAAGGAGATTATTATTGAACCTTACTTTAGACGAGAAAAAATACTTCAAATTAGTAATTACTAATTACTAATTACTAATTATGATAAATTATCATTAAATTATGGCACTCTGGAGTGCAAACTTTTTTGACTAAGGTCAATCGCCTGAATAGAGTGCCCAGTCACTGTAGTTGTATTAGGGGCGCCTTTCAGTCCCGGTGAAGACGTCAATTTTGAGGGATAATGCAAAGAAGTGAAGCAAAGGCAGGCTGACGGGCACCGGCCGTGTCGTTTCCATAAGACGGGCTTAGTCTAGCCAGGTACGAGTACATAAACTCTGCAAACTACCGTCTTTTCACCCGAATCGAGCGCCCGGTCATCATTGCTGTATTGAGGGCAACTTTCAGTCCAGATGCAGCTATAGTGACCAGGCATTCTATTCACGTGAAAAGACAGTAGCCTCTCTCAATGGATTCCAAAAAGGTGGACCCTGGTTTATGGGGTACGAATGTGAGAAATGAAGCAGAAAAGATTAACTGGGGTTTATGTAATGAGCCTCAAAGCTCACCACACGATGGAGCGCTCAAGTCAGCATGCATGTCTCACAGATTCACAGATTGTAATGTCACACACATTGCACAAAGAGAAGATTAGTAGACCAGATAGCACTCAACCAGAATTTAGAGAGAGAAAGAATCAAGAACTCGAACTGTCCAGCGCTCAACAAAATTTCAAGTCTTCTTCGATCATCAATAGTTTCTGCATCTGCGCTCATTAGCGCTTGTTATCAACACCAAGTCCAGCGCCCTACAGGTAAGTATCCTCCACAGCTCACTCCCTCTCTCCCTCTTATCTCCCTCTCACTTGATGGTTCTGGTCTTTGCTCTTCACAGACTTCTTCCTCTCGCATTCGCACTCTCTTCGCAGTCTTCTTCTTCCTCTCGCATTCACACTCCCTACTACTAACACACACATGAGGATCAACTCTGAATACTACTCCCTGGTCTACTTCTACTGACGTACTAACTACATTGCATCCTAGCGCTGACGCAGCTATGGCTGCCTTCTTCTCTGCCAGCGTCCACCTTCCTCTCTCTCTCTCTCTCTCTCTCTCTCTCTCTCTCTCTCTCTCTCTCTCACTCAGCGCTGATCTCTGGCATAGCTCAGCTCTCTCACATCTGACGCACAAGTGCACTCGCACTTCCACACTCTCATGCGAGTGAATATCTGCCGAATGGTAGACTGCCCAGTCCTTTTGTAGTCTTGAAATGCACTTCAACTCGTGCCAGCCTCTGCTTCTTGGGGCCTGACTGGTTCCGGTACCACATCCCCACGGCCTGTCTGCTTCTGAATGTCAAGGCCTGGAACCTTCCCGAATTTCCATGGGTCTGCTGCTGCTTGGGCCTTTGGGCCTTTGGGTCATGACTTCTCATTTGTGAACATGACTTTTGACTGTGGACTGCGTCTCCTGCCTCTGGGACACGACTCTTACCTGTGGAACTGCCCTCTTACTCGTGGGATGTTACTCTTCAATACGACTTTTCATACTGAGACGCGACTCTTGCCCCTAAGATGTGACTGTTTACTGGGTTCCTGTTTACTGGGTTCCTGTTGGACTGGACTCCTGAGGTGCCTGATTGTGACTCTTCTGAATTAAACGAGCTCGGTCTGTCTTAACCAGGCCTCTGACCTTGAGACCTGAATTTGGGGTCTGAATCGTGGAAGGCCTTTCATTTAGGGCTTTAGGGTATTATAATAATAATAATAATAATAATAATAATAATAATAATAATAAATTAATAATAATAATAATAATAATAATAATAATAATAATAATAATAATAATGTGAGAACGGAAGCAAAGGGAGGGAGGGAATTAGGGTGACGCCGACTAGAGTGTTGTTTGTGCCACATGGACTTAGTAGTATGAGTCAGGAGCAACAAGCGGCCTCTGCAGTGTCTGCACTCTGGTCTCCGAGGATATAAGCTCACATAAACTGTAAAACCGCAAATGGCTCATGAAATTACTTATCGATGGGCCTCACTGCACTACTCTCCACATGCACAAAAGACAAAACAGATGGCGGTGTATCTTTCCATGTCGTACAGGAAGATCCATTCTCATTTTGCACATTTGCAGAGAAGTGCAGTGAGGC